AGACCAGGTGTCTGTTGTATTTTTACAGATGGGACGAGAGTTGTGTGTAGTTTTGTATTTTTAAAGGTGAGACTACAGGTGTCTTGTTTTTTTCACAGATGGGACGAGAGTTGTTTGTAGTTTTGTGTTTAGACATATATTGACGTATTTTAATATATATGTGAGACCACAGGTGTCTGTTTTTTTTTACAGGAGGGACGATAGTTGTGTGTAGTTTTGTATTTTTAAAGACGAGACTACTTGTGTCTGTTGTGCAGGAGGGAGGAGAGTTGTGTGTAGTTTTGTGTTTTTCAGGGGAGACTACGTATACTTGTCTGTTTTTTTTTTTACAGGAGGGAGGAGAGTTGTGTGTAGTTTTGTGTTTTTACAGGGGAGACTACATATACTTGTGTCTGTATCTTTTTACAGGAGGGAGGAGAGTTGTGTGTAGTTTTGTGTTTTTACAGGGGAGACTACGTATACTTGTGTCTGTTTTTTTTTACAGGAGGGAGGAGAGTTGTGTGTAGTTTTGTGTTTTTACAGGGGAGACTACTTATAGTTATACTTGTGTCTTTTTTTTTTAAAGGAGGGAGGAGAGTTGTGTGTAGTTTTGTGTTTTTACAGGGGAGACTACGTATACTTGTGTCTGTTTTTTTTTACAGGAGGGAGGAGAGTTGTGTGTAGTTTTGTGTTTTGACAGGGGAGACTACAGTACTCTGTTTTTTTTTACATTTTTTACACCCCCCCCATTTTCTTTCCATTTCATAAATTAATGTTTAAGATAAGGTTCATTAACTTAAGATAATATATTGTTTAAATGTAGTTAAGATAACAGATATAGTTAGAAGGTAGTGTTTAAGTGTAGTTAAGATAACAGATTTAGTTAGAAGGTAGTGTTTAAGTGTAGTTAAGATAACAGATTTAGTTAGAAGGTAGTGTTTAAGTGTAGTTAAGATAACAGATTTAGTTAGAAGGTAGTGTTTAAGTATAGTTAAGATAACAGATATAGTTAGAAGGTAGTGTTTAAGTATAGTTAAGATAACAGATATAGTTAGAAGGTAGTGTTTAAGTGTAGTTAAGATAACATAGATTTAGTTAGAAGGTAGTGTTTAAGTGTAGTTAAGATAACAGATTTAGTTAGAAGGTAGTGTTTAAGTATAGTTAAGATAACAGATATAGTTAGAAGGTAGTGTTTAAGTGTAGTTAAGATAACATAGATTTAGTTAGAAGGTAGTGTTTAATTGTAGTTAAGATAACAGATTTAGTTAGAAGGTAGTGCTTAAGTATAGTTAAGATAACATAGATTTAGTGAGAAGGTAGTTAGAAAGTAAGATTTAGAAGTAGGAAGTTAGTCATCATCATCATCATTATCATTGCTCTACTTCCTTACATCTCCTCTTCATCCTTGTGAGACACAAGACCATGGCTTGTTCATTCCATCTGGGTCTGTCCTTGGCCTCCTATCATCATCATCAACTGTATCTGTATCTGTAGTCATACAAACGGCCTACAGCTGCATTCAGTCTTTCTTCATATTATTCCACTGTCTAACTCTTTTCTTTCTAGCAAGCTACCTTTGCTCCTGGAGTTTATTTTCTTTTGGGGGAGAGTGGAAGAGGACTAGCCCTCTGTGCTTTTTGTCTCCCTTCAGCAGATTGATAATGTCTTCCTTTGTCTGCCTTGTATCTGCTGGAGCCTGGGATTGAGCATTCCAGTGGTTTGATGCATGTGTCTTGTGGCATCCTGCTGATATGTCCAGACATACACCACCTGAGTCCCCTAACTTTTGTGAAGGGAGAGATGCTGTGTTTCAGATTTTTTTACATAGTGTCATCACCATGCTTTTTGGCCACTGAAGACCTGTGATGGCCCACAAGTGTTGGCAGTGGCAGGTGCCCAACTTTCTTTAACTGCCTTTGGTGCTGTCCAGCTATTCACATGACGGGCGAATTTTTTTAAAAATTGATTCCCTGCTTTCCTCCTGGACAGAAAAAGGTGTTTGGATCATAATAATATTGATAGATGGTTTTAATCTCCAGTCAGAGACAGGCATTTGGTAGCTGCACTTTTTAACTGACGCAGATACATGTACAAAATGTACATGGCTTCTTTTAATTTCTCATTTTTTTCCCTATGCAGGTGCATGTAGAGGGGGTTAAGGAACTCTGGGTAGTGACAGTTTAGCAGCAGCACTCTTGATTTTTAGAGTGGCTAAGCATGCAGGTTCCCCCTGCTACACTTAACCTATAGGGTGTCTAGTAGGCTAGTAGCACACAATGGTTCCTCCTATTTTGTAAACCTCTCACATCTGGCTTCACGTGCCAACCTCAGGGCAGCAGCCTCAACTGGCTGGCCAAATGACTAACAGGGTGGTGTCAGGTAGAAGACATCTGCAAGCTCAATGGTGTCCCAATTGGATGGTACTAATAATTCTGTGCCTAATGGATCAGGATGATCCACCCTACAGTATAGCATATGACATCCCAATTATCTGTGACCTGTTCCATGCTTCTCACCTAATATGACACATTTGTATTTCTGTTCATTACAGGCGAGAAAAGAGTAACTCAGTTGTGTGCAGTTTTCTGTTTTCTCTGGTGGGACAAATCATAATAGTTCTTTTTACAGATGAAAACAAGGAAAGCATTAACTAGCCAGTTGGTTAAATTATCTTTGATGTTGCATGTACTTGTAGTTCAATTAATTATGTACTGGTGATGGGACATGAACTTGATCACTATTTGTTACTGTACAATCTCTGTACACTGTTTACTGCCCCCCATTTTCTTTATTTCAGGGTAAAGCTATTTGCTGCTAGTAATGCAGTGAAAGGCCCTGAGGAAGTGGTGGACCTGAAAGAACCTTTGACAACGGCCATGGCAGCATCAACACACCTCGGGTTGGAACATTAATGTACACATGTACAAAGACCTGTTATCCAATATACATGTAGCCCTCATGATATTGACTGAGACTGCAACTTCACAATAGAAATGTTGAATTTTATTGATAATGTCAACAATACTGTATGACAGCTCTATGGTATGGCATTGTAACTGTTGTTATAAGAACCGTGCAATAGGTGAGGCAGAAAGTCACATTTTATTAGTTATTTAAATTGGTGATTCAATATGATCATGGCCTACCAAGTTCTGTACAGAAATTTTGAGCCTGAATTGTTTCTGAATTGTGTGATATAATCATCCTTAGGTCAGTTGTAATAAAGTTGATCACTAGTATTAATATTTATCGACTATCAACCTTTCTAAAAACAAAATGAACATTATAAATTGACATTTGTGGGTGTCCACACTCAAAAAAATGAAAAACAACTGCCAGAATCTCAAACTACATATTAATAGATGCAGACACTTGCTGCATCATAACCTTGACCACTAGCCGGTCACGGGAGTCACTAAGATCCTCCAATTTGGCTCGTGGTACAGGAGCCCCATACTTCCTGTTCTCCCTGACTTCCAATGTCCCACCCAGAGAGATCGCATGGTCCTCCCCACAGTTGGGTGCTTGCAGGAGGAACCTGTTAAAATCAAAATAGAATTATATTACACTTCTACCTTCAACATATATATAGATGTATTTTTTCTACTTTTATGTATTTCAAAATGTTTTAATCCAAAAATTTGCATGGCCAATACAAGCAAAATAATAACTTTCACCTACACGACTTTCAAATGAAGTGGACGGGCACGTGACACGAGGCACAGGTAAATGTACCACCTGTCCTCTTTCTCCAGGGACACCTTCCACTCTGCATTGTAGATGCCCCTGCATGATGGCGAGGTGAAGGCAGTAGTCCCGTCTGTGAGGTTAGTCTTAATGTTGGGGATAGTGAACGTCATGGCCCTCACCTCGCCGTACTCTAGGGATGCGTCAGATGGCTGAAAGATAAGATAGTAAAACTGAATTGCTTGCATCAAGGACAAGTACAATGACCTTGCTTGCATGTTGGTGGCTCGAGCCCATAACCCATTGTTACCTCCCTCAACATGACCTGAAAGCTTGATAACATTGTTTCATTATCTACTATGACCTATACCTAACATTAGGTACGTAAAACACGTCCGAGCCCTCCACTTCTGTTTTTTAGCTCTACTCTTAGAACACCGGGAACAAAGGACAAGAAGCCGTGCAGTGGAGGAGATTGTGGTTATGCTACTATCCCAGTACTATTAGCAGTTGGTACATATACATGACATGTATTTTACAACAAAAGGTCTAATTTCATGACAGTCACCTAGTGATGCATACCTAAACCCAATTTTAGGTTCAGGTCCGGATTCAAGTCCAGAGGTAAACTTTAGGTTCAGTTCCGGACTTGTAAGTCCAGACCTAAACCCATGGCACATATAAAAGTGCATGTTGGCAGCCCTGCAATGTTGTCTGGGTGAAACTTTGGCAACATAACATGGAGGCCGGTACTTGACGATGTCCAATGACAATGTTTTCTTCATTTTGCAGCAAAGATTTTACAATCTACGGAGGGTTTTAGGTGGTTTGGAAAGAAAAGGGGTATGTGAAATGGTCTTTTATGGTAATAAGTCCGGAGTCGGTTCTTGACTTTTAGGTTTTTTTGGACCTAATCATTCTTACAAGTCCGGATCCAAGTCCAGTGAACCGGTATGCATCACTACAGTCACCAGGTTAGATTTCAAAGATGTTACATAGACAAATACATGTATGGAGCATTGTAATGCAACAATATAAAAGACAAAAGCTAACACCCCAATTCCACTAGGGCATAGACCTCGCTGCGTCCTGAGTTTCACAGATCACTCAACATAAAAAAAAAATTTTTGTTTGGGTTTTTTTTTGCTTGATATTCCTATAGAGCCTTACACAAGTCTCAGCATGATTGGCATCTAATTGAATGGGACTAAACAAACGCGATGCATTAATATGTCTGTGTACCTTTAACCTGCCTTCGGCCAACCTGATCTTCCACCGGTCATTGTGGTGGGTCAAAAGTGCAGCATGCTGGGCTGAGAAGTTCGCTGCATGGCCGGCCATGTCTGGTGCCCTTCCCACAAACCCACATCCTGGCACGTGGCAACAGATCACAGTGTACTGGCACTCTTGCGTGACATGGATAGCCACTTTGGCCCTAGAGAAAGACGATATACAATACAATCATATAGTGCATCAAGTAAAGAACAAAAGCAACAGCTTCAATCAAGACACAGAGTAGCAATTTTGAGTCACAGCGAGGTATTTTCATCAACATGAAAGCCGTTAGCCAGCAAAGAGAGGCAACGTTTTGTAATGGCTGCCATCAAAGCAAGCACTGATTTTTTACTCCATAGGGCATCAACCTCTTAGGGAACAAGAAGTAAACTAAAATCTGAGCTCTCCATTAATTTGACACTTGAGGAAGCCAATCTTTTTTTTTTTTATAAATACCTCTCTAGTTGTCTTCCACAGCCCGGCACTGGGCACGGGACTGGATGGGTTGCACAATCAGTCTCCCGGTGTCGGTCCAGATCCTTCTTTAGTGTCCTGTAGCTACAAAGGCACGTGACCTTCTTATAGCCACAGACCTCTTCGTGCTGAGCAAGCAGCCTCCTCTCCAGTGTGTCAGGGCACCCTTCACGACGACAATATACCTGCAACACAGTGTTCCATGTGAAAGGTTATGCTTGTAAAGGATACATCAAGGTCATACCAAAAGGGGACATATCAAACGCAATGACAAAAATGAGAAATAATACATTTTTTTTAATCACCTTTATTTTATTCTGCATACTATAATGGTTTTCATAGTGTTTAAGATGTCAATATTCAAGATATGTCATATATGTTGCTGTGGCAAGACAATTTTTTTGCTGTAGCAAAAACAATGATACAAATATATAAAAATAAAGACTAGGTGACAGTAAAACCTAAATCTTCATAGAATCAGTAACACATAGTGGACAGGCTCCACTAGTGGGTTCAATGCACCTGTCCAGTGAACTGGTAACACCTAACCTAAGCTTCAGTACAGTGAATCAGGAACACCTAGCTTCATCACACAGTGACACAGTAACATCAGTAACCTGTAAGTCCAAAAAATAACCTAGTCTTTTGCATCTAAGAAACAGGTGTTCATAGTCTAAGAGGGGTTTTTGGCCAAGAGATACCAGGGGGCTTGTCTTGTCTATCTATGCATGTTCCAATCTATAAACCTTCGCATTTACTTATATTCAGTTTTAGTGGATATGTCATCATGACTAATTGGGTGGTGTACATGTCATCAGTTACTTGTGATATTTTGATTTGTACCTCGTTTCCTGGGTCTGTTTTAACTTAAATTCCCTTTATCAGGCATAAATTCTACTGTGAGTAAAGAGAAGAGCAGATATGGGACAGATCTGCCGTATACCATTTCTTAAGGGGGAAGAAGTCAGACAACCATCCTCTATTACAAATGGTGCTACGTATACCATTACACATGCATTGCATGGCGTGAATAAAAGGGGGCAAAAATTAAATTTTTTAAAAAACTTTCCACATAACATATTAGTTACTCTATTTATGTAGATCCAAATAGAATCAAAGTAAAAGTTACTCTGTCGTTGTTTACATAGAATATCTGTAAGCTCTTTGCACAAAAACAAAACCCAAGTTGACGCTTTCTCAAGTGCTGAAAGCTATTTTAGAACATTTTGGAAATTTCACCATTGCTTTGTAAATGCCGAGAGTCGTGATTATCATACTACAGTAAAGCAGTTGATTAGGGTTAAACGCATATTTAAGGCACACAGAGTAAGTAATGTAGACTTACCGTTTGGCCTGTACAGTCGGCCTTCTTGTGCTGCAGGACTTCGCGAACCGTGCCCCGGAAACCACACGGGCTGCATTTGGCAGGAACCTCTCCCACCCGCTGTCTGGTCTCCTCGTCCACCTCCACATTATCGAAGTCAGTCCTGCACAATGGGCAGCGATTTATCGGCAACCAAGCTGCACAGGACGCACAGATACTGTGCGCACACTCCATGGACACCGCTGTTAGCAGGATGGTATAGCTGGGAAGAAAGAAAGAGTAGATCAACTAGTTACTATTAGTAGCAAATGCACCGAGTGTGCACAGACCTGTATTGTGTGTGTGCAGAATACATGTTCAGATATTTTAAGTATGAAATGTCTGCACAAACATTTGTCTGAAGGTTATGTAACTTTTCGCGATATAAACCCCCCACTGTTACAATTACAACAATATGCCACTATAGGTTGATTTTTTTCGACGTTCAATTACATGTTTACAAAGTTGGTACTTACCATACACAGCACGCCTCGTCGTCTTCCAAGCGTCGCTCAAGTTCACCATCTGTGATACCTGTAATAAGTACGTAGTAATTGTCTTGACTCTTGAACAAAGATGACGTGCTTCTAGCTATTTTCATAATCCACGATCGATTGGGCTGCATTATAATTTAGCTTATTCTATCTCCAAGCAGACCTTTTGGTGGCTACAAAGACAGTATAAAATTGGCCAGGCAGTGTCCATTTGCCAGACAGTTACCATTTGGTAGTAGCCTAGTATCCAGTCTTGCCAGTTTATACGTGATCATGTTTGGGGTGTTGAGGTGTTCAGGCAGGCTGTGTCTTCGGGGGCTCTAATAACTTCCCCCGCCCAGTGCAACACGCCGTCCCGGTAGGAGTGTTACGCTAATAACCAAGGAATCTTCAACCAAACGATTATCTGTGCTATATTTCTCAATCCTCGTTTTCCTTTCGTCTATGCATATGGTGAATCCATGTAGGATGAATAAAGGTGTGTAAAAAGGGAGGTAGTGTTTGTTTATTCTATGGGTTAGTTTGTCCAAGGTTTTGTCGACCCTTGGTTTGTTATGAAAGCTTGAGTTTTGACAAACTTGTAGCTATTTCCATCGCGAAATTTCTGTCTGTTGTTACCTTGTTGTTACCTTGTTGTTACCAGAATTAATCTGTATGTAAATACCTGCTGACACATTCACTGGCCAGCAGATCATGTTGGGGACATGTGTGAAATACAGCCTGCTATGCGTGCACCTACGTACTGTGTAATTTGTCGGAGCAAGGAGGTTTTAACCTCCTTGGTCGGAGACAGGCCTGGTGAGTGGTCGGAGACAACAAAATAAAATCCGGATGTTGGTGGAGTTGAGAGTCAGTTATCAGTCAGAGTAGATGCCTGCGTGTGGTGTGTGTGTGTGTTTCTGAGTCTGACGCGTCCCGTGGGAGTAGCCATAAACAATGGACTGTTCCAGAAAATAAATGTGGAGGGTTTTTCTCGCCCCAGTTTCAAATTCAGCAATTTATAAAAAAAACATATTCCAGTCCAGAGTTACCCAAACCCTTCACGTCACAATCAAGAATTACTCAAACACTAAACTAGTTCCAACCTAGATAATCAACCCCAGTACTCCCCAAATGCATGAATATGTATAAATGTATCTTACTACCCACCATCTCCAAAACAACGTATTCGGTTGCCATGGGCAGTGTGATTTCCTACATTTCAAGAACTTCGAGAAGTCACGAAGATGCCGCGGACATTTGGAAAAGCGACGACCGTTTACGGATAGAAATTTGCCGCGGCGCCGGGCACCGAATGTCCTAATATTTTTTGCCCCGTACATAAATCGACCCCGTATAAATCGCCCAGCCATGCTTACTTACTTACTTATAAGAAAGACAAAAAAGGAACATCTATTTCCTGTTTGAAACATCATGGTGGAACTACTAACTCTAACGGAACATGCAGGCATTTCGAATTCAGGCAGGCATTGTCTAACAAAATATCTAAGTTATCAATATTCTGAGTCATTTTGTATCAACTTGTGTAATAATGTAAGAAAGTTAACTGTAAATACATACCAACGGGGGTTGCTCGAATGGGACGCTCGAGGTCACGGTCTACAGTCCATCTTCCGAACGACATATCGTCGTTATGGTTGTGTATCAAAACGGAAAGTATTCAAAGAAGGGTGGGAAACAGCCACGTACAACGGTAAGTAACTGACAGCGTAAACGTCAGTAAACGTCGTAAACGACAGACTAACCGATGACCAGCCGAGCCGCAGGCTTCAGACAACGCAGACCTGATCACACGTGAACAACCAATCAAAATCCTCAGTCGCTTTAAACCTCCTGTGGTTGTGAAGTGTGAAGCGCCTGTCAATGGTGCAAGCGGCTCGCAACAAACCAAAACAAACTGTGGCGGGATTAATAAAGTGGTGCGAATAGAATCATGAGGAAATTGACACGCCCCTAACGCATGTTGTGTCATCGAAATCATTCAAACAAGAAAGACCCTGCAAGAAGAAAGGATAAAGGGGGAAGGAGATGTAATACACCCTCTATATATAAACTCCTTGATTCAAACCAAGGAGTTAAAAGGTCTGTGTTGTAACTCAATGTTCAAACAGTAAATACAGCATGACGACATGACCAAGGCTTGGCAAACAGATGCTAATATGTCACCATTTGCAGGTAATCTATTGTGTCTTGTCAGTTGTCACTAAAGGAGAAGTCAAACTGCTAATTATTAACAGTTTGTCTCTCAAGCAAGGTGACCCCTACCTCCATGGTGACCCGGACCCTAGATTTTTCTGAATATTCTGTCAAAGAAACTTCGAAGATTTGTATCGACCGGGTTCTAAAATTTGCAAGGTGTCTGTTATACCGCACATCCGCTTGCTCGTAAATGCTAAAGCCAGACTACTAGTATTTTTTTGGCCGTCTTGTAGATCTTTTGGAGCAGAATTAGCCTCCAAGTCGACACTCTGAAAACTTATATCGTGGGTTTTGCCTGATTCATGCAAAGTCTTGCTAGGTTGTTTAGACGAAATGTGCAAGATACATAATTATGTATACTAGTGACATACCAAATAGGTTTCAGTTTGAGCATGAATTATTTGAGGCCGTTCGTACGTACTGGCCCTGTTGTGATAACTCCGAATTTATCACCGGTCTAGATCACTAGCAATCCCGAAACTGCGAAAGACACCTTGCACTGACATCATCGGAAATAATGAAAGTTTATTGCAAATTCATGCCCGAGGGCTAATCGCAAGAACATGATAACAACAATGAACAGTAAAATGATAATAAGTAATGCCATGGTAATGCTAATGCTACTTTAGATATACATTTGTAGTTATTGTAGGGTTTGATTTCTTTTCCGTGTTGCGTAAACGTGTATCTCGGTTATTATGTTGTTCTCGCCACCATCTTGGTTTGACGAGAAGACAACAGCCTGTCATGACTTTTAAGCGCTCGTGTTAGACGGAAGAAACACCTAGATAGTCGGCTAGGATCTCAATTATCCGGTGGTTCATATTATGCCGGGGCGCGCGACAATGTTTCCGAAACAAACAATGCTTCACCTTCACTAGACAGGTCAAGTACCAATACATACTACCACACACCGCTACAACCCAAAAATAAACCAGAACCTCTGCTTAGAGAGCACAGACAGTATCCATTTGCGAGACAAATGATATCCAATACGCCGTTAAAAAAAACAGTGCTGTTATTAAATGTGTCGCCCTGGCTGATATCTGTTATGAACAGGACGCGATGTACTCCAATAGCTATAAAGGACTCAAAACTTCGTGTCGGAAATTGCGTTTCAAAGGGTTAAAATTTCAAATTTTAACCCCCATTTTAGATTTCCAGCTCTGCCTGGGACTGGTACATTAGCACAGCTTGCGATGTATAGTGGTACTGCACGCTGTACTATTTGAAATACGTTGCAGTTTCCATATACACTGTATCAGGGTGTGTCAGGGTGAAATACGGCCGGGTCCCCAAATACGCCGTATTAGCGAGAACACCGTATTTGGTTATGCTGTATTTCACCCAAATACACGTGTATCAGGGTGAAATACGGCCGGTTTACCAAATACAGTGTATTTCAGGTCAAATACACTGTTTTTCACTCAAATACGCTGTATTTGGCTTTTGACTGGTATACCCCGCCATA